CAGGAGAATTCTATCAAACATTTAGAGAAGAGCTAACACCTATCCTTCTCAAACTCTTCCAAAATATAGCAGAGGGAGGAACACTCCCAATCTCATTCTACAAGGCCACCATCACCCCAATACTAAAACCAGACAAAGATGTCACAAAGAAAGAAAACTAGAGGCCAATATCACTGATGAACATCAACGCAAAAATACTCAACAAAATGCTAGCAAACAGAATCCAGCAGCACACTAAAAGAATCATACACCATGAACAAGTGGGGTTTATACCAGAAATGCAAGGATTCTTCAATATATGCAAACCAATCAATGTGATACACCATATTAACAGACTGAAGGATAAAAACCATATGATCAGGCTTCCCTGGTGGCACAGTGGTTGAGAGTCCGCGTGCCGATGCAGCGGACACGGGTTTGTGCCCCGGTCCGGGAAGATCCCACATGCCACGGAGTGGCTAGGCCCATGAGCCATGGCCACTGAGCCTGAGCGTCTGGAGCCTGTGCTCCATAACGGGAGAGGCCACAACAGTGAGAGGCCCACGTACCACAAAAAAAGCCCCAAAAAACAAAAAAAACCCATATGATCATCTCAATAGATGCAGAAAAAGCTTTCAACAAAATTCAACACCCATTTATGATAAAAACCCTAGAGAAAGTAGGCATAGAGGGAACTTACCTCAACATAATAAAGGCCATATATGACAAACCCACAGCCAACATTGTTCTCAATGGTGAAAAACTGAAACCATTTCCTCTAAAATCAGGAACAAGACAAGGATGCCCACTCTCAGCACTATTATTCAACATAGTTTGGGAAGTTTTAGCCACAGCAATCAGAGAAGAAAAAGAAATAAAAGGAATATAAATCGGAACAGAAGAAGTAAAGCTGTCACTGTTTGCAGATGACATGGTATTATATGTAGAGAATCCTAAAGATGCTACCAGAAAACTACTAGAGCTAATCAATGAATTTGGTAAAGTAGCAGGATACAAAATTAATGCACAAAAATCTCTTGCATTCCTATACTCTAAGGATGAAAAATCTGAAAGAGAAACTAAGGAAACACTCCCATTTTCCATTGCAACAAAGAGGATAAAATACCTAGGAATAAACCTACCTAAGGAGACAAAAGACCTGTATGCAGAAAAGTATAAGACACTGATGAAAGAAATTAAAGATGATACAAATAGATGGAGAGATATACCATGTTCTTGTATTGGAAGAATCAACATTGTGAAAATGACTATACTATCCAAAGCAATCTACAGATTCAATGCAATCCCTATCAAACTACCACTGGCATTTTTCACAGAACTAGAACAAAAAATTTCACAATTTGTTTGGAAACACAAAAGACCCCGAATAGCCAAAGCAATCTCGAGAAAGAAAAATGGAGTTGGAAGAATTAGGCTCCCTGACTTCAGACTATACTACAAAGCTACAGTAATCAAGACAGTATGGTACTGGTACAAAAACAGAAATATAGATCAACGGAACAGAATAGAAAGCCCAGAGATAAACCCATGCACATACAGTCACCTTATCTTTGATAAAGGAGGCAAGAATATACAATGGAGAAAAGACAGCCTCTTCAATAAGTGGTGCTGGGAAAACTGGACAGCTACATGTAAAAGAATGAAATTAGAACACTCTATAACACTTTATACAAAAATAAGCTCAAAACGGATTAAAGACCTAAATGTAAGGCCAGACACTATAAAACTCTTAGAGGAAAATATAGGCAGAACACACTTTGATGTAAATCACAGCAAGATCCTTTTTGACCTAACTCCTAGAGAAATGGAAATAAAACCAAAAATAAACAAATGGGAGCTAATGAAATTTAAAAGCTTTTGCACAGCAAAGGAAACCCTAAACAAGATGAAAAGACAGCCCTCAGAATTGGGGAAAATATTTGCAAATGAAGCAACTGACAAAAGATTAATCTCTAAAATATACAAGCAGCTCATGCAGCTCAATATCAAAAAACAAACAACCCAATCCAAAAATGGGCAGAAGACCTAAATAGACGTTTCTCCAAAGAAGATATACAGATTGCCAACAAAGACATGAAAGGATGCTCAGCATCACTAATCATTGGAGAAATGCAATGAGTTATCACCTCATACTGGTCAGAATGGCCGTCTTCAAAAAAATCTACAAACAATAAATGCTGGAGAGGGCGTGGAGAAAAGGGAACCCTCTTGCACTGTTGGTGGGAATGTAAATTGATACAGCCACTGTGGAGAACAGTATGGAGGTTCCTTAAAAAACTAAAACTAGAACTACCATAGACTCAGGAACCCCACTATTGGCCATATACCCTGAGAAGATCATAATTCAAAAAGTGTCATGTACCACAATGTTCATTGCAGCACTATTTACAATAGCCAGGACATGGAAACAACCTACATGTCCATATACAGATGAATGGATAAAAAAGATGTGGCACATATATAAAATGGAATATTACTCAGCCATAAAAGGAAATGAAACTGAATTATTTGTAGTGAGGTGGATGGACCTAGAGTCTGTCATACAGAGTGAAGTAAGTCAGAAAGATCAAAGCAAATACCATATGCTAACACATATATATGGAATCTAAAAAAAAAAAAAACAAGGTTCTGACAAACCTAGAGGCAGGAGAGGAATAAAGATGCAGATGTAGAGAATGGACTTGAGGACACTGGGAGGGGGAAGGGTAAGCTGGGATGAAGTGAGAGAGTAGCATTGACATATATACGCTACCAAATGTAAAATAGATAGCTAGTGGGAAGCAGCTGCATCACACAGGTAGATCAGCTCAGTGCTTTGTGACCACTTAGAGGGGTAAGATAGGGAGGGTGGGAGTGAGACACAAGAGGGAGGGGATATGGGCATATATATGTATACATATAGCTGATTCACTTTGTTGTACAGCAGAAACTAACACAACATTGTAAAGCAATTATACTCCAATAAATATGTTAAAATAAAAGAAGACACTATAGAATTGTCTCCCATATTCACCCTCTCATAGGCTGTCACTTTCAGGAATAAACCAAGAAAGAGGAAGACATGGGATCCAGCCAATTGTATATCTAACGCAGGAAGACATAAAAGGAAGCCCCAGGTGTTAGGTCTAAGTAGTTCAGGCAGTTAGACAAAAATTCTCTGAGGAAGGTCTCTATGGGGGAAAAAAGAATGGCATTGATTTATCGCTTTTTTTTTTAATATGGGGAAAATTAAGTAGTATAGCTATTAAGATGTAGTATTTGGAAAAACTCTAGAATATGATCAATATAAAACACTTACATACAAATCAAATAAAAAAACCCTCAAGACTAATAATTAAATAGAACTATATAGGAAATGTATAGTCCAAACAGTAACAGAAGTAAATCGTCACATTATTTTCATCTAGAGGTCTGGGTCAGGGAAGGCCTGGAGACAGAGAAAATCACTAGGAAGCTCTTTCAGTTACCCAGGTGAGACACAATGGTGGTCTGATCCAAGGCTGTGTCAGTGAGATGGAGATGGAGTGGGCAAATTTTAGATATATTTAGGAATTATAATAGAGAAACTGTGAGGCTGATAACAGAGAGGGAAGAGTCAAGATAGATTCCATGGGTTTGGTTCAGAAATCTAGGCATAAAAGAGTACCATTCACTGAGAAAAGAAATACTGAAGGAGAAGAAGGTTTGGAAAGTACAATGGTGAGCTCATTTCAACCTGAGCTGCTAAAGGGATATCTCAGTGAAAATGATCAGTTGGTAGCTGGATATATGGTCTGGAGCTCTGGAGAAAAAACGGTTTAACATGTGATACCTTAAGCTATGAGAGAGGGCGGGTTAATAGCTCATGATTGATGGTTCTCTGGGCTTGAAAATCAAATTAATTAACAAATTCTAGGCAAAATAATTTAGGATAGTAAGCAATAAAATTTATGTGAACTCTTTCTAAAGCTGTATTTCAGTTGTTTTCATCCTTACAGATGTTGAATTTAAAAGAATGCATTCCAACATGAAAAGACGTTCAACATCACTCATCCTCAGAGAAACGCAAATCAAAACCACAATGAAATATCACCTCACACCCATTAGAATGGCTATCATCGAAAAGACCATAAATAATAAATGCTGGTGAGAATGTGGAGAAAGGGGAACCCTCATACACTGTTGCTGGGAATGTAAATTGGTACAGCTGCTATGGAGAACAGTATGGAGGTTCCTCAGAAAACTAGAAATAGAACTACCATATGATTCAGCTATCCCACTCCTGGGCATATATCCAAAGAAAATGAAAACACTAATTCAAAGAGATACATGCACCCAATGTATGTAGCAGTTCATAGCAGCATTAATGTTCATAGCAGCATTATTCACAATTGCCAAGATATGGAAGCAACTTAAGTGTCCATCAACAGACAAATGGATAAAGAAGATGTGGTATATATACACAATGGAATACTACCCAGCCATAAAGAAAGAATGAAATTTTGCCATTTGTAATGACAGGGATGGACCTGGAGGATATTATGCTAAGTGAAATAAGTCGGAGAGAGAAAGAGAAATACTGCATGTTATCACTTATATGTTGAATCTAAAAAATAAAACAAACTAGTGAACATATCAAGAAAAAAGCAGACTCACAGATATAGAGAACAAACTAGTGGTTACCAGTGGGAGAGGGAAGGAGTGAGGGGCAAGATAGGGTTAGGGGATTAAGAGATGTAAACTACTATGTATAAAATAGATAAGACCAAGGACATATTGTACAGCACAGGGAATATAGCCAATATTTTATAATAATTATAAATGGAATATAAGCCATAAAAATTTTCTATCACTATGTTATACACCTAAAACTAATATAATATTGTAGATCAACTATATCTCAATTAAAAAAGAATTTAAGTTAAAAAAGAAAGAAGGAAGGAAAGAAAGAGAGAGAAAGGGAGGGAGGGAGAGAGGGAGGAAGGAAGGAAGGAAGGGAGAGAGAGAGAGAGAAAGAAAGAAAGAAAGAAAGGAAGAAAATGTGTGGGTTAAAAAAATGCATTCTATTTCATCCAACTAAAATAATTTCAGTATAAAAAGTATTTTACTTGTGTCACTTCAAACTCCATGAAGCTGATACACAGACCTTGATGACTACTTATTTCTCTCCTCAATCCATTTCTCTCACAGACCACCACTAATCTCCTTTAAATCCCTACACAAGCATATCTTGTCTTTTTGCTCCCCAATTCCCCACCTTTTCCTCTCAACCCTCCATCACAAAAACCATTCAAACAAATCAGGACTACGATTTGCAGAGTGGGGAAAAGAAACAGCACTGAATAGGCCAAGCTAGAGTCCTTTTTAGTGTCAGGGAAGGAGCAAGGTTGGAAATATGCATATACTGATAAGCCTTATCCCATCTATATGTATTGTTCCTAAATGATGACCCAGCAGTGTTAAGTATTCAATGTAGTTAACAGCAGAGTGCTTTCCAGAGGAAGGCCAGCTTCCCGTCCACCAATGGGCCTCACAGGTGATACAGTTCTGGATCTGGCTCTTACCTTGTCAGCGTCTCTCCATCATCAGTCCTGGAAAGACTAATCAAGCTAATCAAACTCACAGGAGATTGAAGTTTATCAGTCCAATTAGACTGTCCCTTCCTTCACTTATTCTGGGAAAGACACTCCTTCCAGGTTCTAGAATAATGATATTTTTCCCATCCAGGGTATTACCTTCTCATTAGCAGAACAGTTCATGATGAAAATGCTACTTAGTGAGCAGAAAATAAAAACAAATGGAAATATGCATGATCTTAAGCAAAATCTCCTATTCATGCTAGAGGTGGGGCTGTGGGATGAAGGATCATTGCCCCAATATATGCTGCAGTGATTGAGTATCTGTGTCTCCTAATTCCCGGTCTCTGGACTGCCCAGTTGTAGTTTCCCTTTCTTTCTCTCCAGACTGAACTGTCTTCTGTGCATTCAACTCTTTCTCCATATGAAGTACAATACAATTGGGTTCCCATTACTAAATTAAAATCACATTCTAGAACTGCCTGCTTGAAATTACACCCAGGTGACCTTAACTGGAGCTTTTCGTGTTCCCAAACACTTCAAGCACCTATTGACGGTCTCCAGGCCTACTCCCACAGATGGCAAGCCTTATTTCTCCTTTTTCCAACTTAGGAGGAAGCATCTCACTGCTGTTCTGATTGTATGGCTGTCATTCAATAGAAGAATAAAAATCTATCAATACATCTCAGTCATGTTACATCCTTCCCTCTCTTCTTCTGTCCTCTCTCTTCTGTCTCTCCTCTCTCTCTCTCAAATGTACCCTCTCTAGTTATACAAAAGCCACAGAATGTAAAAACAAAATATTTTTCATTTTTAGAAATCAGAGTCACCAGCCAATGTAGAATAGTTACAATGTTTGGAGAGGGGTGAAGTCTGACTCAGGTATTAGTAGAAGCTCTGCATTAGACAGTTTTCATAGATTTTTTTCTCTTTATTTTTTTCATAAATTTTTTACCTTGGTCAAATTTTTTGCAAATTTTACTTTGATAGAGCACAAAGAGAACTTATATTCCACAATTCACATAGTTGCTTTCATTGATTGATCTGTTTCATGTTCCACCATAATTCTACCTCTTATTTTATCTTTTATCTCCTCTTGGTTGTTAGCCTATCACTTGGGGACACTGGGACAGTGGTGTGACGATATTATAATACAGTGCCTGGCATGTAGTCAACGTGATGATTCAACACGGCAGAGCAGGCAGTGGCTCCCTGTGTCCCCCGTCTAGACATTTCACCTGCCGGTCCTCTCCGGATCTCACAGCTCTTCTCTTCCTTTTTAGAGGCAAAAACACAGAAGTGTTTAGAGACAGAAACACAGAAACAATCATTCAGCTTGATGACACGCAAGCAGAGTGAAAAATAATTCACCTGGACAGATAAGTGATGAGGTGGAGATGAGGAAGGAGACTCTTTTAAGACTGGAAAAAGAAGAGGAGTGGGGCATGTAATGGATTGTTGATTCCATTTTCTGGCTTCTCCATGCCTCCTAGTTAAGATATCAGTAGCAAATTTCATTTAAGCATCTGACAGCATTTTTCACTCTGAGTCTTAGGCTCTCGACGGAAGTCTGGAAAAGCTATCGAGAAGTTAGCTTTTCCTTCCGCACCTCCACACGCACACAGAGAAACCCATACACAGACACGACTGGCACACCCACGGAGAAGCCACATGTGCACCTAAGAACACATGGACAGGCAAACAATAAAAATGCCTAGTGGTAGCAAGAAGCACTCCAGCCACAGATGCCTTCTGCTGCAGACAGCACATGTGCTTGCATTCTCACACCCACACAGACACAAAGGCCCACACGCAGATGCCACACCCAGACCCACAGTCTTTACTTACTCAGCTGTGACTTTCCTCCCACATGCCTTATTTGAACACAAGACTGTCTCTAATTAGAGTCTCTCAAGTCCATCTTTGCCTGACTAATCAAACTTCTCAGTGCAGCCTCATGAAAACTCAACTTCTAAACTGCTCAAAATAACTGCGAATGGAAGAGAAATAAAGGACAGCTCACTAGACACCTGGGGGAACTGAAATTTGGAAAGTTAGGTGGAAAGGCTGTCAGGGCTAGTAGTGTCCCACCTGCCCACCAGATATTTTAGTAGATGGACACGTAGGTGATCTGGAAATGCCAACAATGCAGTAATTACGAAAGAGATGACCACTGATACTAAAAGGAGAAGAAAATATGACCTATGATGGAAAGAAAATGAACTTGAGAACCAAACAGACTTAGATCCAAATATAGCATTGCTATTTACTGTTAACTTGGGCAAGCTATTTAGTCTTTACCAGTTTACTCAACAATAAAATCTACATTCAAGTATCTTTATGAGGATTAAGTGTAATGATATATGTAAAGTGGTTATTACAGTGTTTAGTTTCATAAACATGTGTTTTATCTTTGGTATTGAAATTGTTCCCAAAATATCCTGTGAGCTCTCCCAGCAAAAGACAATGGCTTGGGTTTTCAGCTCTCTAAGACAAATTAGAAAAGTTACACGCTCACTCTTTCCTTGGGAATAGAGTGCCATTGGTAAACAATATTTGATAAAGGAATAAGTGAATGAGCAAATAAATGAATGATTGAATGAATGGTGTGACTATATTATACCTTGCTGTTCTTAGAATCATCAGTATCTAATATTAAATCTAGCATGTAGTTCTAGTACTAGAGGTTTCTCAGTTTAATAGGAGAGACAGCTAGAAAAACATAATTCTAATAAAATGAGAGAGATATTGCAAGGTTTTATTAAAGCAGAGGGAAAAAAAAGTAGTTCTGCTGGGGGACAAGAGAATGTTCCTATAAAGTTCTTCAAAACAGTGGTATGTAATCTAGGACAGGAAAAACTCACAAAGACATTCCAGGGAGAAAAAGGATCATGGGCAGAAGCATAGATGCTGCTTACTCAGGGCAAAATGAATAGGCCAAAGTGGCTAGAATGTTGGGGACATGGGGTGCCATGCCAAGTGATAAATCTGGAAAGATAGTTTTGGGAACCACCTTATGGAGGACCTTGCATAATGAGTATCTTTGCATAAGAAGACATTATCTTTAACTCAGAGGGTGACAGGCAAGAAAATGACATGGTCAGATTTGTATTTTAAAGAGATCACTCTAACATAAGCATGAGGATCGATTCAATCAGGACAAAATGGAAGCCTGGAAGATGCCAGTTTAAGACCTCATCCTCTTTCGTATGCATTATTACAATGGTATCCATAAGGCAGGGAAACAGAGTATATAAAGAAGAGCATTTTCTTAGCAAAAATTTATGAGGTTGAATTGGCAAGAATTAGAAAACGGACTAAATTTGTGGAGTGAGTGAAAAGGAAGAATTACAGATGACTGAGAATATAAAGTATTGTGACTGACTAAATGTTGTTTTATTAATCGAAATAAAGAACCACTGCAGTTATCTATTGCTGCATAATGATTTATTCCCAAAACTTAGTGGCTTAAAATAACACAATCATCTGTGATCATCTCTTATGGTTTTGGAGGCTGATTGCCTTAGCCTTATGGTTCCCGTTCAAGATCTCTCACATGTTGCGGTCAGATGGCGACTGTGGCTGGAATCATCTCAAAGCCTTCCTCTTTCATATACCTAGAGGTACATATTGGCTGTCAACTGGGACCTCACTTGGAGCTGTTGATCAGAGTGCCTACACTTGGCCTCTGCATGTGGCCTAGGCTTTCTCACAGCATGGTGGCTGGGTTCCAATAGCAAGTGTTCCAAGAAAACCAGGTGGAAGTGAATGGAATTTTTATGACTTGGCCTTAGAAGTTACATGAAGTCACTTCTGCTACTAGTCACTTCACTGGTCAAGGTTATCACAAAGGTCCACCCAGGTTCAGGGGGGGAACAGAGACCCTCAACTCTGGATGAACAGAGTTACAATGTCACATTACGATGTCACAGTGAGATACATTGTGCAGTCATCTTAGGAAAATACAACCTGCCACAAGAACATAGAATAAAGAGCAAATACGAGTCCCGTTTTAAATGTGCTGACTTTCAAATGTCTGCAGAACACCCAGATGAAGAAGATAAATGGGAAATTATAAATTTGGTTTTGGAGTTCCGGAGACCTGAGAGTTGTCAGAATATAGGTGATAGTGGAAGTCATGGGGTGGATGTTGTTATCCAGGGATTAGGGAAGAAAAGAGAAAAGAAGGGAAAAGAGGAGGAGGGACGAGAGGGGAGAGGAGAAGAGGGGAGGGTTATTAGTTTCCTAGGACTGCCAGAACAAAGTACCCACAAACCAGGGCTAAACAGAAATGTATTGTCTCATGGTTCTGGAGGCTAGAAGTCTGAAATCAAGATGTTGGCAGGGCCATGATCCCCCTGAAGTCTCTCAAGGAGTAGCCATCCTCACCTCCCCCAGTTCCTGGTAACGCCCTGGTATTCCTTGGTTTGTGGCAGCATAACTCCAGTCCCTCCTCTCTCTTCACGTGGCTGCCTCTCCTGTACATATGCTCTATCAAATTTATTTTTTCCTATAAGGACACAAGTCATATTGGACTTAGAACCCATCCGACTCCAGTATAACCTCATGTCAATTTAGCTAATTACGTTTGCAATGACCCTATTTCTAAATAAGCTCACATTCTAAGGTACTAGGGATTAGGGCTTTAACATACCTTTTTGGAGGAGATGCAATTCAACCCATAATAGGGAAGAAGGTGAAGGAAGGGGAAAGGATGACAGAATCAGAAGCCCAGGGAAGCTACAATGTAAGGATGAAACAGAGGAAGAGGAACCAGTGGGGGAAAAAATCAGAAGGAACAACCTGGGAGGAATACATGGCACAAGGATTTGGGGATTGAAGAAAGAAAGATGTGGACAAAAAGTACTGAGTTAACAAAAGGACTGAACAGTTTCTATTTGAGTCATGAACGGGGAGGTTCTTAGAAACTTTTGTAGGACCAGACTTCGTAGAGGAGCAGAAGCTGTGAGATGCTGATGAGTGAAAGGAAAATGAAGAGGCAGCAGTCAGCCTACATCATGGAGCTACAGAAATTTCAGAGGAACTCCTCTAAGGAGTTTGCTCAAAAGTTAACGCTAGTAATCTCTTCTTCCTGTTAACCAAGTTCCATATACAAAACTAAAAAAAAAACAAAACTTGAAAGCGAGAAGGGGGAGACAAAAACATAATTGCGGGGAGCAAGCTGGGACTGCCATTTTAGGAACTTTCTTGTGGTTTTCCCATAACTGGAGAAGCGGCTTTCTGACATGATCTGATCCAGGATGGCTGCTTAGTGCAGAGTACCCAAAAGCCGTTCACAAAAGCGAGAGCCGCAGACGCCAGGACAGGACGTCGCAAAGAGAAAATGAGTGATTAATTTAAGGAATAATATCAAAGGTTTGGAGAATGGAGGGAGGATACAAATGCCAGGAGAAAAAGGATGTGGTCAGGGCTAGGCTTAATTATTTATTTCCTTGATGCCTAAGGAGCTTCCAAGCAGAGGCCATTCTGAGCAGCTTCCTTTAACACTGTACTTTCCACAAGTGAGACACGGAGGAAGCAGATCGTTTCTTCTCCGACGTTCTTCATATACCTGTCCCACACCCCCAAGACCCAGACCTGCTGACTTTCTCACTCTTCTCTGAATCTCTTCCCTTCTCTCTCATTTTATTCTCACATTCTCTACTCTCTTACTTTAAATACGTCCGACTTTTGCTTTTCTCTTATCCCTTTCTCACAGTCAGCCTAATCATGGAACAGACAACTGAAGGGATGCTCAGTCCCGCTCCCTTTCTAAAACTTTTGTTTCATCCATAAAATCAGTAGTCCTCATCCTTGTCCATATTTCCTAAGTCACAATGACAGACAGACAAAGGAAAAGATAACACTTGTGAGGTTCCCCCAGAATATGGAATAAGATATACACAGCCCCAGAACTGCAGGCCATGAACTAAATAGAAATGGCAGAATTCAAGCTAGAGTTTTACAAGCTGAATATGGTTAGTGCAATGTGTCCCCAAAGGGCAACTGATCCTTTATTCTTAAGGATCTTTATTCTTAAGGCAGGTGAGAATTTTGGCTTAGGATTCCCATCAGAAGGAGTTTTGTTCTAATTGGCTGAGTGCACAAGAGTGCTAGTGATCTACCGCAACTTGTTAGCTTACCGGGAGGAATAGGGTAAGGGAGGGTGGCAAGTCCATTTATTCCAAAGTATATGGGATAATAAATGAAAAAACATCTTTAAATACACAGCAAAAGGAGTGAATAGGAAATGTGTTAAGGAATGTAGCTTACCACAAGTTAACAAATAATATAACTATGCTCATATGAGGTATAATGAGTAAACTTGGGAGGCAACAAAGCATAGCAGACAAGAGAGAAGACTCTAGAGCCAGGGTCCCTTGGTTCATATCTTAGCTCAACTGAGACAAATTATTCAGTATCTCTGTGCCTCCATATCCCCAGCTGTAAAATGGGAATGACAATAATAATGGTACCAAATCCATAGAGAAGACTGATGAGAAGACTAAATGAGTTAATATAAATTAAGATTTTAGAACAATTAGGTGCATAGTAACACTAAACAAATTTTACTTTTATTATGAAAACTAACAGTTAGCTAAGTACCTAAAACTATACCATATTGCTTTAAAATTTTAGACTATAATAATATATTTCATATAGTATGATGAATTTATATAGTACATAGTACAATAGAACATTTTTAGTTTAAATGTCAGTTTTATTTTAAAAAACATTTGTCTCATAAACACTTTAAAATTTTAAGATCTAAAATAAGTTTTTTTAAATGTAGCATTTTGTAAATGCTGTTTGTCCTTTACTCAAATATCCAAAAATATAAAGAGAAGATACTCAGTTTTTATAAAAGGAAATAAAATGAGGTTAACATTGAAAATGAAAAGCAGATTTCTTTTAAAACCTGGTTTTAGATAAATACACATACTATTGTTTTCCACAATAAAATGTAGCCCGTGTTTTGGAGGGATGGGTATCCTGAGTATCAGCTTTAATTAATGAAATTTAAAATCCACAACCTTAAACTTTACCATGTTTAAGGTGTGACCTTGAATAGACTGGCAATCCATCCCTGCTTTTACTTGGTCAACATCCTGGTGACACTGAACCAGCTAACTTTGGGTACCAGTAACATGTATCTCACTACCATCAACTTTAAATGCTTTACTTGCCTACACACACATATACATACACACAGACACATATACATTTGTATCATTTAGAAATATTACTTTTAATAGCAGGTAACCTAACAGTTGCTTCAGTAAATATGGGATTGTTATTTTCATATGACAAAAATGCGTGCAGGTAAATGGTTTCTGGCATTGGTTCTGTGGCTCAAAAATGGCAAGTCTTTCTCTTCAGGTTGTAGGATGTTTGCTCATAAGCCATCACTTCAATATTCACGGCAGGAAGAAAGGGTGGCGGGGGGAGGCAGTCATATACAGCATCACTGATGTCTGTCCTTGTATCAGAAAAGCAGAAACCTCCCTAGGGTCTCCCTTCCCCCCTTTACACACACAGTGCCAACTTTCCCTTAGTTTCATCATCCAGAATTGGGTCCCGTGACCACCTGTAGTTGCAAAGGAGGCTGGGAAAGTGGGGGAACAGGTTGCTAATGATTGTCTTAGATTAAACATGATTCATCATTTGGGCCTAGGCATTACCACCCTGAACAAAATTAGGGCCCTGTTATCAAAGAAGAAGGGACTATAGCTATGGGGTAGGTAACAAGTAATGTCTGTCACAATAATTTACCACTTATTGGGAGCCTATATGTAGAAGGCACAGACCCAGTCACTTTACACACATGATACATTTAGTCTTCACAACACTGTGAAACAGTTATTTGTAAATGCTCTTTGTTCTCTATTCTTTATAAATAAGGAAAGTGAGCCTCACTAAAGCTGTAAGTACCTTGCCCAAGGTCACACAACTAGTAAGGCAGCCTGAGATTTGAGCTCAGGTCTGATTCTAAGCTCACATACTTTCTACAATATCATACTGCCCATCATCTTACCATCTGTCCCTTGGCCATCCTTAATTCTGGCCACAACGTATCTCTGGCCACAACGTATCCCTGGCCACAACATATCCCTCCAGCTTCATACAGTCTTGATCACAAGCCCTCTCCGCAAAAAATGTAAGCCATTCTGAATCTTGATTTAGAAAATGGCACATGCTCTTCATATATGTCAAAATGCTGGCAATACAACAGTGAACAGAACAAAGAGGCTGCTGATCTGCGGCATTAAGCATGTAAACAAATAAAGATAATTTCAGATAATGAGAGCCTTATGAAGAAGATGAAACAAGATAACGTGATAATGAAAAATCTGCAGGCTACTTTTGATAAGATGCCTAGAAAAGACTAAGCCCTGATTGCTAGAAGGAATTAGCCTGGTCAAATTCAGGGAAAAGTGAACTCCAGGCAGTGGGCCTAAGAAATGCAAAGGCCCAGAAGCAGAGATGTTTTGTAGGTACAGAAAGTTGGTCAGTGACATTGGAAAATAATGATTGAGAAAGACATGATAAGAAATGAGATCTGAGGGGAATCTGTATTTTATTCAAAATGCAATGGGAATTTTGATAAGTTTTAAATAAGCAGGGGTAACATGATCCTTTTTTTTTTTTTTAAATCACCGTGTTAGCTGTGAAAAGAGGCTTGACAAGGCATATGAGAGGAAGTAGAGATTTCAGTGAGGTGGCTTGGCCAGAGCAGTGCTGGTAGAGATGGGGTAAAGACAGATCGTTCAATACAGATAAACATTATGACACAGCTTACCTTTGGAGAAATTTGTTTTGTCATTCATTCCATGTTATCTTGGCTATGCAGACCACTGCGTTTTATCACATTCATATGCACGTGCTCCAATGACTTGTGCCCACTATTTTCTTCTGAAATGATTTTAGAAAAAATAAATGCTTTAACACACTGACAAAATTCAGCCAGATATTTAGCATTTTCCCCTACTTGAATGGACTGTATCTACAGGGCAGTTCTGAAGCAGTCAGTTCATTCAGCATCTGAATTCAGAGCTCTCCCATCTTCCCAGGAAAAACATCAATAATGGTCAATCTCATATCTTTTTATAGATACAGGCTTTCAGAGGTTTAGTTTTGCATAATTTGCCATAATGAATTATAAACTTCTCCCTTTTCCTCTGGGTTCATGAAATTAGTCAGGATAATAGAAGTAAGATTCTCCCAGAAATTGTGTGTTGGGGTTAATCAGTGTGTTCCTAATTGGAATTATGAGTAGAGTAACTGAGGAGAAACTTATGTCACTTTGGAAAGCTTCCATTGTAAATTCACTATGGCTGAATGCAAACTCCTTCTGGAAAAACCATCTTCATTTAATTTCAGTGGGAGCTGATAATAGAGCTGGTGTTGCTTAGAGTGCAGTTTAGATGACCATTACCCAGCCTATACTATTTTGCTCTTTTGTTACTTAAGCCCTTCAACAACGTCTGGCCAGTCATCCTCAGAATGTGCTTTGTGTACCAAGTTTAAACTTCTTAAATTATGATGGAAAGGAGATATGTAGCAACGGAATGAATTCTGTGCAAATAATTTGAATTTTCATTTTCATTAATGAAGATAATGATGACTTTATCCACAAGGCACAAGAGGAAACCAGGGTCTGGCTGCTATCCGGGTAATTGAACAAAGAGTGAAACTGGATGACTGAGGCCCAAAGCATTCCAAGCCAGAAATCTTGAGCTCATGGATCTTTATAGGCTTAAAGACCCTGCTTTAAGGACTTTTAAGGGGAAGGCCTGCATTTGAGAATCTTCAGAGGGTTGAAAACAGATCTCTAGGTGATCAATGCAGAGTGAACGTTTTCGTTTACAATATCCAATTAAAACATTCTTGTACAATTGAAGGAAAGGAAAGAAATCAGAAGATGTTTAATGCCTTTTAAATCCAGATAAGTTTAACTATAATAAAAACACATGCCAACTCCTCGACTTCCTGGCCTAATAAGTCCCAGGTATGGTTGTGAAGCCGAATCCAAACTGTAGGAACAATGAACGGAAAAATCTTGGTGCAATTGTGAAGTTTCTATGGTCCCATATTCTGAGTTAGTCTCAGCAGCCAAAACAGTGATGTATAAAATGTTGTGGAAAATGGGTCTTTACTTCCAGACTCTAAGTTCCAAATAAATTTTAAGCATCTCCTGGTTGTTAGGGATTGCTAACCGGTATTTAGATTATCTATATCAACTTTTGTTAATTAAACAAACGTTTTAAAAAGAGAGAGAGCTGCTATTACTTTATGTGTATTTTTCAATAGCAACACAGCATATTAGCTTCTGTTTATCACAGACTTCCTTAATCTAGGGGATCTCACTGTATGGCTTTTAGATCTTCTTACTGGTTTGGGAACTTATATCTGGTGAATTCAGAATCTCAAATAACTGTTAAGATTTCCTTCCCCCCTTTTGGCTGCTTGTACCCCCTCCTTTTTTTTTTTTTTTTTTTTTTTTGCGGTACGCGGGCCTCTCACTGTTGTGGCCTCTCCCGTTGCGGAGCACAGGCTCCAGATGTGCAGGCTCAGTGGCCATGGCTCACAGGCCCAGCCGCTCTGCGGTATGTGGGATCTTCCCGGACCAGGGCCCGAACCCGTGTCCCCTGCATCAGCAGGCGGACTCTCAACCACTGCGGCACCAGGGAAGCCCCTGCTACTCACTCTTAATCATGCAATTACTCCTTCCTCCACACCCACCCACCCACAGCAATGCTGCTTATGTACTTCGCTGATCTGAAGGCAATGATATTTGTAATCCAACCATGCAACTTTCTCTTTTCGGAAAGCCAAACAAATCACTGCATATTTCTGTGCTTCTCTCTCCTTTTATCAGTGATTTGGGTGTAATCATCCTGGTCACCTACTTTGTTTTCGTGGGTTTGGAGAGGACTGACATTCCTGGAACCTTGTGAACAAAGAAGAAAGCTGCTTAGAAGTGCCTTGAATGACTATTTTCACATGTCTTAACTGCCATAACAAGGAGGAAAATCTTCACAATTTGGAAGGGTTTCTGAAAATTAGCCCCACTGCACCAAACCTTTGATCTTTTGGTCAAACTGTCAATCTCTTGAGAACTCAGCTCTCTTGTGAAATTTTCAGGCTGTTTCCAAAACAACTTGGTTGCATAAGGTCTGACAGCCAGACCCTCAAAGCTCCTCTGTGTTTTGGAAATTCCCTAAACAGACTTAGGTAACAATGTCGCTCAGCAGGAGATGCACGGATGGTGCCGCCCTAGCCTTTCCAATCACACACAGCTCTCTTATTTTTCCTCTTGACATCTCTTTTTTTCCTCCTATTCTCCATATCTCTTTGTTGTCCACTCCTCTCCTCTCCTTCGCTTCCTTCTCCCTTCCCTTTCCCCACACACACTTCCAAGCCTGGGATCAGGCTCTGACTTCACCAGCTTTGCTTAAGCAAGTCTGCTGCTTGACCCAAGGATGAAAGATGTTTCCAGGTTTAACTAAAACCCAGGTGAGACATCACATAACATATGGAGTGAGCTTCTGGCTGCCAAGTGCTCCAAGAGCAGTTTTTCTTACATTGTTTCAAAACTTTTGCTCCAGGGTGCTCCAAGAGGAAGTTAAAAATTGGGTTAAAAATATGTAAGATCTGGTGCCAAGTAATTGAAAACAAATAGTTTACAGTAAGACCTTGTTAATTTACACTTTTCTTAAGTGTAAAGTAAAAAGTCTAATTCCTTTGTTTTAATAGCTGGGTATTTTTGCTAAATTAAGGTAAATGTAAACTGAAAATAAATAGAATAAACTAAGAAATGTACAAGATTATAAATTTAAGTTTATAATTTAGTTTAGTGTAGACTCCCTCTCAATGTTAAAAGCCTCACATAAAATTATGCATGCTATTCTGTTTTTTTTATGTTAGTAAATAAGCTTATGCTTGCCAGTTTTATGCACAATTATGAGGTATATTTTTTTGCACTGTTTTCTAGTTTTACAAAGTCTTATTTAGATATTGGTCCTACTTGCATATTGTTTATATTCTCACTGGCCTTTGCCATTGCTATAGTTTCATATGTGCCTTTACAAATGTGGTATCTTTAACCTTTTTTGTAAAAGATATTTTTTGATTTCCTTATGCAGTATACCATTTTTCAGAGAAGAAAAATGATAACTATGAATAAATAACATCTATTTATTTATATTTATTCATACACTTATCTATTTATTAAATTTAAAATTAATAAGTATAAATAAATAAAATAAATTAAAAATACATTGAAATATATAAAATGAAATAAATAGGATTATTGAAAATTTTTATCTATTTAAAGTTTTTGAGGTAAAATCATTAACTGATTCTAGAAACAATTTTAAGTGGGTGACATTTGTCAGTATGTGTTAAGCTGGTGCATATTGTTTGTGAGTTTCCTTCATATTTTCCTCTCTCGTTTGTAAGTGATAATCTGTGACATTTTATAATTAGTAGGGTCTCCCATGTGAGCATACATTAGGAGAAGTCATTGGATCTGAGATTAATAGCTTCAGTTATCACACTAAATTTAAACAGATTAATTTAAAAGGCACTTACTTTTTAAAAGGCAGGAAATATTTGGCAACAGAAATCAAATGAAGTTCTTGTTCTAATCAAAATATAATTGGATAAGAATTCCTAAAGATTAAAACTTATCTAAAAAAAAGGCTCTTCCACTGTGTTCCTTCCCACTACAAAGGTCTCAAAGAGGTGTCTGCAATTGTCCCCACTTGCACCTCTTACTGCACTCTTATCTCTTACTCTTGCAGGGGAAAACATTTGTGGACTATCTTAAGAGCTATATAGAATAGCTTTTTCAAACAGGTATGTACATGTAGCTTTTCAGAAGATATGCAAACACAGTTTTAAGGAAATCAATTTCCAGATACTCAACTTCCATATCGACTCTTTCCTAAAACTAATTTGCCTAGGTAGATGTCAATGAAATATTTGTAGCCCTTCCTTTGCCCATAGCCTGTCTCCCACTTGAAAATAGAAAGGTACACCTGTCACCCATTCCTGTTGGTGCACTGCATGGTTCTAAGATGTAATCTCTTGGGTGTCAAACGAACAATTGTAAATATTTGTGTCATCTCATTTGATTGAAACATCATAAACCTCCACTACCTATTACACTATGAAATGCATTCCCAATACAATTTTATTTTTGATATGCAATAATTTAAAAATATATAATTTATGTATGTTGTTTTTGATCATTTGCATATGAAAAATAACTGTAATGATAAAACAGGAGAAAGTTTTAGCTCTTAGAGCTCTAAGTTTACAGAAAATTTATCTTCTTTTTTGCAACTTCTAGGCAGAACTAAAATTGTAACAAAAGGAATTTAAACTTAGACATGAAGTTCTTGACTAGAGATTATTAAAAAAACAGAATGGAAATTCTTTTATTTTTGTTGCACAAGCATATGAAAGAGTAATCAATAAAATATACTTAAACAGATTAAACTGATATACAATTTTGAGGAGGAGGTGGAATGGAAATACAATTTCCAGGAAGAAAGAGAATAATGAAAAATGTCTAATTGTTAAAGAAGGAATTTTCATGCCTTTAAAAATAGATGATGGTGGTGTAACATTGCTATAGATATATTTAAAAGTGAGGTAACAGTTTCACTTTAAAATTTCAATTTAATGTGCCAGAAATTATATCTTTTGAAACTGTATACATTTACAATTAAACATTTTAGTCATGAACTTTTAAATGTGCAAGGGGGAACCATAATCTATCAAAATTATCTTAAGGGACATGAGAGAAAAACAAAGAAGGTCCCCGATCAGGAGAACATGCTCTCCCTTGTGAAACATATTCCTAACGGAAAGAAATCAGACAGGTAGGGGAAACACTATGTGGC